TGTGTAATCATAGTATTGAACTGACAGTAATTTTTGCAAGATATTTGGAAAATTAAATATCATCTGAGCTAGAAGAAATGGTTTAAAGTAGGTATTCTGAGTGACACAAGAAGAGCTAAGGAAGATGGGTGGGAGAGACTGTATTCTCTGTATTCTTGCTGCATTTCTGAAGCCTAACCAAGTTACATGACACTATTTCCGCTCTTATAGGCATTTTTCAATAATATGCATTTGCAACAGGTCCATGAACCACTTTAGTCCTCAGTGATAGAATGGAGAGAAAAATGGTGTGAGGCTATTTTCCTCTTTTGTTTAAGAGAGAAAGTGCTGGGATACTAGAGTCTGCTAACTATAGTTTGGAAATACTTTAGTCATTTTCTAGGTCTCAAGACTTGAGTTTCAAAGACACAGTTTCTTCCTCTTAGGTCCAAAACCCGTGAATGTTAAGTCAGACAATAGACTGAAATTTTGGCTCTACCCTTTAATGACTTTGAACAAAGCACTTAATCTCTCTGAAACTCTTTGAAAAACAGGAATTACTTCCATATGTACCTAACAGGACTGTTTTGACAAGTAAGACTCTATGTTAGTTAAATGCTTGCCTTGCATCGTGCTTAATACATATAAAACCCTCTGTATTAAGTACAGCACACAGGATTTTTAGGGTAGCAAAACTATTCTGTATGATACTGTACTGGTTAATACATGACATTATGCATTAGGCAAAAAACAGAACTGTACAATACAAAGAGGGAGCCCTAATATAAAATCATGTTAATATATCAATATTGACTCATAATTGTAACAAAGGTACTATACTAATTTAACATGTCAATTATAGAAGAAACTGTGTATATGGGTAGAGGGAGGGCAGGGAATTATCTGTACTTTCTGCTCAATTTCTCTGTAAACTGAAACCACTGTAAAAAAATTTTTAAAATTTTCTGTAAATGGTAATATCTACCTTCCATCTGTGGCAACCGACTAACAAGAAGGGCTCCTGACATGCTCAGGACTGAAAATAGAATATGCCTTCTTACCCCATTCATCTTGGGCTTCAATTCCTTTGTCTTTTGCATTCACCCCATTATACTATCCTCCTTTCCTCTCCTCTTATTACATTTTGTAGTTCCAATTTAAGCAGGAGGGAGATTCTTATCCACACTCGCCACAGGGCTTTAACACTCCAACACTCTATTTAAACAGGTCCTGCTTGTCATAATTAGGATTTCTTTTAAAAATTATGATTAACTTGAAAGTTATTAATGCAACCACTGTGTTTTGTGGCCTTCTCAATTTTATTTCCTCTGTATTGTCTCCTCCCTAAACATTTGGAAAACTTTAATCCCGGTCAGGTGTATGTCTATGGCCACATTTTTACTTCATCCCAAGGTTCTTCCAAACACTAAAATTCTCCAACAGTCTTCATTAGTCAGAATACCCTAGTATAAACTCCTCCTTCTGTTGAGTTACAGCACTGACAAAGCAAGTGAGGTTCTCTAAATCTTACCTAGTAGCCCACATCTACTCAATACTCATAGGTAACCTCACTTACTACTGGTCACTCATTTCTATGGTCATATGATTAGTATTGTCAACTGGTTTCCTTATCAGGGCACCTTATTTTGGATGTCTTTAAATTCAAGTGAAATTCCTTTTCTTAGCTGAGGTGATCTGAACTAGGTTCCAGAAATTCAAACTCCATTTGACATTGGTGCAAGCTGAATTTTCCTCATATTAAATAAAAACGTTAACTGTCAGTAGAAAAGAAAATGTGGACAAGTCCTTAAGTCTCCCAGACTGAGTCATTAATAATCATAGTTCCTGGTTCTCTCCTAAAAATAAGTGCATCAGTGGTCAGTCAATGCTATCACAGGCCTAACGTTTCTGTACAAAGTACACCTTTCAACTGATCTTACTAAACATACACCTATTTTTGTAATTCTGTAACTACTTCCACAAAACACATTTCATCTAGGTTATCTAAAAACACTGCAAATCAGAAAGTGCCCTAGCCAGTGGGAGCCAAAGGACAGTTTCCCACTTACAAACTATGTACCACCAGAAAGAAATGTTTCAAAGGATTTTTTAACAATCCACCTTCTCTCTCGCTTTCCAACTCTGGCTGGAAATTGCTTCCAGACTATTTTTAGATTTCAAAGCATATTTGGGAAACTTTTATTCTGAATTTTATACCAAAATAACACAAATGTAACTTCATGTTCAACTGTTTTAAATCATACTTCCACTGAATAATGTTAAGGCCCCTTAGTCCAAGAATGTCAAGTAGCCCAAATTTCCTCAACTATCAGCAAACTCTAAAACTGTCAAGTCTTTTCCCCCTTACCTGCACTGCCATGCCTTCTGCTTTGCCTCTGTAATTTCTATTGAACCAACTCCAATCTCATTTCCTAGAGCTGAGGTTGAAGTAATATGTCACAGTGACAATAAGCCTACCGTGATTCATGGCCTTTAAGACCACTAGCCGCTTTTCCAAAAAGCCTGTGATATCTGCACTTGTTTGGAATGCAGAAGGTATTTTACCATATGCTACTTCAATGTCCCCTTTACTTTGCTATATGTTTGGCCTGGAAACCTGAATGTCAAAATATTAAATGAGTTATACCTGTGATTATACAAACATAAAGTACTGTTCTCTTAGTTACATGAGGAAATTTAATTCACAGTAGCTTGGGACCTAGAGTTTTCTTCTTCTCCAAGACAAACTAGAGATATCTTGTATTTCAGCAATAACCCTAACACATATACGTGTGGACTTTCAGAATGTGTGATTTCTCCAGCTATTAAAAAGTGCTTTCCACAGTTTCATTACCTGCTTCCCAATGGTATTTTTTTTAAAAGATGACCAGTAACCGGATCTTAACCCTTGACTTAGTGTTGTCAGCACCACGCTCTCCCAAGTGAGCTAACCGGCCACCCCTATATAGGGATCTGAACCCGTGGCCTTGGTGTTATCAGCACCACTCTCTCCCAAGTGAGCCACAGGCTGGCCCTCCGATGGAATTTAAAAGTAATCATTAATCTGATAGAACCCAACAATGAACAGTTATCACCAGTAATATAAGCTAAATATACTGCTCTGTGCTAGGTAGGTTCTACAGTGAAGGGAAAGGTAGAAACTTCTAATTCTGGATTAATTTGTTCATTATCTTCTCAACACTGATGGCTAACATAAAATTAAACAGGTTTTATTAGCATCTTAGGCCATTAACACTTTCTTCTAAGCATCCAGTATATTCTCTACTCATGGTTACCTACTAAAAGTTTGTATTACATATGGGATCACATCTGATCAGAAAATAGAATGGTTAAAAGTATTTTTGACTGAATTAGCATACAACAGAAACTACTTTTATATTGTACATCTGGGTTCCAAGGGTAGACCATAGTTCAGCCACTCTTCCTTCTATTCTTTATCACCTGTTATATGAACTGGTCCATGAGATACTTATAAATAGGACATAACTTCTGCCCACAGTAGGCAGGAAGCAAAAATTGCTGGGGCTGTATGCCGTGAAACAATAGCAACTTTCTGGGAGATCCAAGGTTTGTGCACATAAAAATAATAACCATGTATTCCTGTTATGCTGGAAAAACTGAAGTATAAATAAAATGGGACTTTCTGGACTAGGTAAGCATCACAACTTTGGCAGCTATTATCCATCCTCAGAGGTTTACGTGCTAACTGGTACAATGCCTAAAATTACTACAATTAAGTTAGAGGGAAAGGGCAAAGATTAGTTTATATGGATAAAAAATCATTTAAAATAAAATAAATGTACAACCCTCACTATGTTTTTCAGTGACCTAAGATGGCAGACTGCAGAATAACAGGAAAGAAAGAGCTTTTACTATTTTCAGTGACACTGAGAAACAGATTCATAGTTAACTTCAAACTGGGGCTATAAATTATAAACAGTAATTAAAAGGACAAAATGAAAACATATAGAGGTGTCATTCTCCAGCTATTTCAATTTTCCTAAAATCTTGATGTGTTTGAGCTTCTCCTTTTTAAGGAAAAAAACAATTTAGCACACAAAAACCTCAAAAAGGGTGCCAAGCTGGACCTTAAAAAAGCATTGATGAAAAGGTAGAATGTAGTTTACAAACTTTCCCATTAGGATTTAAAAGTCATTTTGCAACAGAATCTCCACTCCATGTCAAAGATACTTGACTCCTTAATGCAAAATCTATCTCAATGAAATAATCTGAGTAGTGTATGTTGGTATATACAATGATTATGACTCCAAGAAAAATGTATCTAGTACATTCTAGGGGTTTTGTGGAAGCCGCTGTAAAGCAAAAAGAATTTGACATAAACAACCATAAAATACAAAAATAAAAAACCAGGGTTTTTTTCTCCAAATTCCTGGTTTAATAAGGACTTGTTTATTTTGAGGAAA